TTGTATTTTAAACTGAAAGTTGTAGGTATGATTTCAGATTCTTCTCATCAAATTTTTGCTGTCAAGTGGTCTACCCATCCAGGTATCAGTTTAAGAATTTGTGAATGTTTGAGAGTGTAATTGGTTGAACTGTGTTAAGTGCTTAAAGTGATCAGTATGACCAGGAAAGTCCCAAATGAATTCAGTTTATTCTCTTAACCATCAATATTTATTATAATAAAGCAACTACTTCTCCTGTCTAGGGGCTAAACAGCAGAGGGTAGCAATCTTGCCTTGCAGTAAGAAGGTGCCGGGTTCGATTTCCACACGGGGGTCTTTCAGCATGGAGTTTGCATGTTCTCCCTGCTCCTTTGTGGGTTCTCTCTGGGTACTCCCATAGTCAAAAAAAACATGACTGTTAGGTTAATTGGCTTTTCTAAATTCTCCTAATGTGTAAGTGTGTGTGAATGGTTGTTTCTCTCTGTGTTGCCCTGCGATAGACTGGCAACCTGTCCATGGTGTACCCCGCCTCTCACCAAGCGACAGCTGGAGATCGGCACCAGCACCCCTCGCGACCCCAAATTCTACTGTCTGAAAGGTTTTGATTATGCTCAATATATGTGCAGCTGTCAGACATATTTTAAGGTGAGTTATTTCAGTTCTCATTGAAAATAAATATCAAAGAGTTTCAAGTTTCTAAGAAAGAAAGTATCAAAAAGTAGATTTTCTCAATGGGAAGTGGTGAAACAAATGAATAATGACACAAGTTGGGCATTTATTTCCAGGTTTGTCGCATAACCCTTTTCTACATGCTGCTGCTGCCACCTTAGCTAATGTCCATACTTTTGCTTCCACCGCTTTACAATACCTTACCAACATCCTGATTCTGCTTCAAGAGCATATTTCCAATATTTCTCCATCTTACACAAGGGTACTGTATATGACCATACTGATATAGGCCAAGGTGAAGTACGAAATGAATGGCTACAAATTATAATTTTCCAGTTTCTTTTTCCAGTTTAAGGACTGTATATGCCATTTCTTTCTGTTATAATTCTCTGTTATGTGTTCAATAACAGTTGAGATGTACATACATTAGTCAGAACATGTTGGATAATTCAGACAAACAAATTGGTGCTTTCATTATTGTATATATATTGTTTCAGTGCACCATTTTCATAATCATCCATTAGGTGAAAATATCTAATACTAGTAAGGTAAGGTATTGCAAATAATTTACTTGATTTTTGAGTTTGCCATGTGTATGGAAGAGAGGCAAAGCAAGGGTGAGACAGGACAACAGTCCAAGGCTACAGATTTAATCTGGCTGCTGTGGTCATGTGATTAATAGTGGCCAGGGGCCAGTGGATGGTGTAATTTATGGTGAGAGGGATCAACACATTTGGATGGTTGCTGCTCCTGAGGGAAATCTGGCTTTTAAACCAATACAGTATTCTTTTTTTTCCCCCTGCTCCCTCACCTATCATAATATGATGGCTATGGCAGAAGGGTCTTCAAAAAGATAATGAGTTCATTTAGAGAATGTAAAAATAATTAAGCAGATTACTGGAGCTCTTTCATTAAGCTGGTTAAAAAGATGCACCCTGTGGATTTTAGCTCGTGTCATCAAGCAGAGATCTGGGAGAATAAACTGGAATATTTGGGGCCAACAACATTAACAGTAGTAGACGGTAAGAATATTTAGGCTAATGAAGGCACTAAATTGTATTTCTAAGCAGAGATTAAAGAGAATATTAAAAATCTGCGTCATTCAGGCTGCCGTGATGGCCTCATCCTCATCAGTCTCCTTCAGGCCACCGCTGCGATGTGTGTGTTGGTGTGCGTGTGTGTGTGTTCACCTAATCCTCTTCTAAACCCTGAAACTGTAAATAAACATCAGAGAAGCCGGAGAAAAGGCTAGGTTGATTGAGCTAAGAAGTTTGTTTTTACAGTTAAATGTTCTGTTGTTTCCATTGCCAGCATCAAACCTTGCTGATTACAGCAGCTTCTCTATGACCTTCCCCACCAACTGCTCACCAGCTTGCCCCATCCAACAGGAGTTACCTATCTGCCCATGCACCGGCTGTGTAACGTTTCTCCTTGGCCATTTTATTGTGGTGTTTTTCATTCCTGACGGCAGGGGTTTATGTCTAGATTTACTTTTTCCGGTGCATGGACCATCTCAAGTGCGGCATGGTTTATACACTTAGGTTCTCTCTTCCTTCATTTTGTTTATTAGTCCGAGGAAATATGTAAATACAGTGACAGCGAGATGCTGTTTCGCCTCACAGTGGAGTTTCCTTGTGAGAAAAATCAGGATAACCTCCAGCCTTACTGCGTAATTGTTCAATACTTATTGTACCTACTCATGGGACTTATGCAACCAGCGACACTGGCGACTCTGTAGGATTACATCATGCATTAAATTGAACATATCCATGAACACTGAAACATAGCCCCACGTGGAGTCTCGTCTGACTTTAGATGGTGTCCCTATGTCCTTGAGAGTCCTTGAGTCTCTAAAGACTTTTGTTTACTGGGCATCTAAATCTAACACCAAATCAATCAGTAAATTGATTAGCATCTATATAGAGATGCTGTGAACTCTTAACCTATAGGGGGTGAGCATAAAACAGCTGAACCTGTCAGTTCCCGCAACACCAAGCAGAAGGCTAAAATAAAACAATCACAGAGTGAATAATACAATATTAGATTGGTAGACAAACATTATAATACTCTACAAAAATAAAGTATATGGTGTAACTTATGACTGCAAATTGAATTTTTTTGAACAGATACTATGTTTCTTGAAGGAATTTATGTTAAAAACTATTTTCAAAAAGGACTACTTTAAACAATTTACTTTAACCGTCATGCATCCTAAAAATTTATTAAACCTCAAAATGATGGCAATCTAAATGTAAATGTCTTCCTTCCTGTACAATACTATTGCAATAAGCAATGTGTAGTGAAATATTAAAGAAAAAAACACACAAAAAATGTAAATAATAAAAACCACTATTTCTCTTGAATGGAAATCTATTTCAAATTGTGGAGACGATTTAGAACTCATGGCAGAGAAAGAGGCTTTTTTTCTTCAATTATTACTAAAGAAAGCATGTCACAACGTGCTTTTCCTACTAGGCTATTTTTCATTTGGGCCCACCTCATTTTCTATGTAAGTGCTGACAGCATTCAATTCAATGTCTCTAGGTTTGGAATGAGAAATAAGCTTATCCTTCCACCGTTTTTTTCTGCCAGCAAAGGTGCCATAACATTATTAGTGCACTGTGAGTTATGTTGCACAGGGTAACAGCTTTGTTGCTATGATATTAAACATAGAAGGTTTGCTTTTTGTCCCTGTGTTGTTAACATTTCTTTGATGTTTCTGCAAGAGGGTGCCTCTCCACATCTGTTGACTGCATTGCTCATGCTGTAGAGGAAAAGCAGCAAAGACACAATAGAGCTGATGCAATGTAAACAAATTCGCTACGGTTTAGGCTTTCCAGGAAAACAAGGTCAGGGTTGCGAGAAACACACAATGATCTCCCCTCTCAGGTGTGTTCCTCATTTGTTCATTCAGAGTTGTTTATAACTCATTAGGATCCCTCAAATATCTCAGAATATCTGTTTGAATGTCCGCGCTAACTCCTAAATGTCTCAATCACTATATAGGGCGTGAATATATAGTAAACTTTATAGTGAACTCAGTTAACTGACCGATCGGACAGATAATCACTACTTTTCGCTCCCCATTGGTCACGTAACTCAGCACCTCCCCACCTTGGTGCCTCCACCTTCTTTATTATTTGTTGCCGCAACAACAAATCCCATTATGCATTGCGAGGAGAGCTCTTGTAGCAAAGTTTTTTGGGATATATCTGCTCATCTCATGACCATGGATGATCACTACTTTTCAAGGTGCATTTTGGAAAATTGCAAGTCCACTACTTTTTCATCCACTAGATGTTCAGACACATCATATAGTGATTAGGGGGGATGTTCTGACAAAGCCTAGGTTTAGATAGAGTAAACACAAGTGGCAAAAGTACTAAATAAATGTAAGTAAGGTAAGTTTTATTTGAGCAGAAAAATGAATAAATATTTATCAAAAAATACAATAGCAAGAAACCTGTTTGCTGGCTAAGAGTTTGGTTAGAATACATTATTACAATATGCCAAAAGCTGTCAATATTTTTCAGATCTCTGTCATCATGTTTCATAGGATCTTTAGGGATGGTTTACCTATTACTTGTTACTAAAGGGCTTCATGTCCGAACATGTAAGCTAGTTGACCTTTAGTCTGTAAAAGAAGAAACAAAGGAGACCTGTCTGTTGTTGTAAAGGTAAAACAATAACAGTTAAAACAGTATATAGTAAAATAGGTATAAATGTTTTCTTCTTATTGCAAATACTATAAATTGCTTGTTATAATTTTTTTCCCTAACCTCCGTTTGTTTTGTAAAGCCCATCAGAGAAGATATGAATGGAGTTAATCCTTGGCAATCCTGGAGGAACACCTGCTACTAGCTGCAAGACTTCCAGTAGGAAGTAACCCTTAACATGCGATGTGGCAGATTGGAAGATTGGACCTGTTATAAAAAAAAACGTAAAATGAACGTTAAAAACCTCAATGCAAATGCAAAACTGTACCAGGAGCTCCAAATCGATGCTCAAAGAAACTCTGCATCCAATGAACAAAAGAGTTCAGTCTCTAGATGGGAAGATGGTATAGAAAAAATGTGAAAAATGAAATTTTTTTTAGATGTTTATTTAAAAAAAACATTTTAAATCATGCATCTATTTGCTGTCACCTCTGCAATATGGCCTATTTTATGTGGGTCCATCATCTAAATTCATAATACTTTTTGGCTGTTGTGCTTAACAACATCAGTTGGGTTTCCCCTTGTTAAAGCCTCTACATAGAGTCATGTCTCCTCCTCCTCTGTCATCCCCCCTCCCCTCTCCCTCTCCAGCTGAACACGCGCGCTCTCTCCTCCTTCCCTGGCAGACGTTTGGCTGCTGTCGCGCCTGCATCCTCTTGTCTCCGGCTCCTTTTCCACACGTGTTGACCGGAGTTTAACAGCTGAGAACATTAGAAAAAGATAGAAAGAAAAAAAAAGTTGCCTCTCCACGAGGCGACCCACAACAATGACCCCGTCCTGACTAAATTTGAATGGATTAAGCCAATCTATTCCGAGCTCTAATGAGATTAGAGAGCCAGCGCAGACGCGGGTCGCAGCGGCGCGGCACCTTTCGTTGAGCTCCTCGGGGAACCTTCCCACACACCCCTCTCCCGTGAACCAGCCGACCTGTCGGCGTGGAAATGGCGTTTTTTATGCCGTGGACGCGAGTGGAAAAGAACAGACGTTTGAATGCACGCTCACCTGTGCCGCTTCTGTGGCGCACGGATTCCTAGAAGTAAGAGAAGAGTTACAGCCGTGTGAGCAGTGGTAGAAAACAGAGGAGAAATGAAGTACCAGAAATATATAACGGTGATGCAGATGGCCATGGGAGTGACAGCATCCAACAAAGACTGCCTCCCCACCAAGAGACAGCTGTGGTGAGTACGCAGAGAGGAGACGGAGGAGGGAGGGAGGCGCGCCTCTGGATAGGAGCGTCTGTTGACCTGATCGCGTAAAAGTGGCACAAATGCTTTAATATGAAGCAATTTGCATTAAAATAGGTTCCCAATTTATAGTTATTGTCTTTCCGTTGATGTCAGGTTTCTCTTCCGATTGTGTTTATTTATTGTATCATTCACTGTCCTTCTGACGCTCCTTTTTACTCATAAATCATCACAGTGTGGAGTTTTTCACAAGGGTTCCTCTTTTTTAAACTTTAAATAACACCGGGAAGGAAAAAATAATTAACAGCTTTCATCACTTCAGAAGCGATGCTAGTGATATTCTCTGATGTTTCCAATCTTTTTTTATTTTTACTTTATTTCCAATATACTGAGAAGGTTATGAAGGTTATCTTCCTAGTTGTATTTGACAGTTATCACATATACTGTATAAAGGTTGTGCAGCTTACTACATTAGATTGTGTGACTTTTTCATTCCACAGTGTCAATAAGAAAAGCATGTTAAAGCTGGTTTTGAAAGCAGATTTTTTTTATATTTGACACTTCATTAGTATATTAATCTTAAACTTAAAACAAAAATAAAGGTATTAATTATCGACATCAATAAACTAACCTTAAATTGATAAATGAAGATTTCATGCAACTGTTTTCTTATGCATTTTGTAGAAAAAGGGAGGGTTATGTTTCTGCATCTAGAATTAGACAAACTTTATTCTCATTTGGTATGCACAGAGTGTATGCAAAATTAAATTTTGTAACATACAGTTTATAACAGTGTCATGAGATTGCAGTTGGAGTAAGATAAACATTACCAATATAAAGTGCAGCTGTGATCAGAATGTAACAATGAAGGAGAAAACGAAACCAGGTTAAATAAGGATGCACAAAGGCATTAATATGAAAAAGTTCAGCGCAGTGCAAAAATAAATATGGTGCAAAATGCAGATGAAACATCTAATCTAGGCTAGTCTTTCTGTTGATGTCAGGTTTCTCTTCCAATTGTGTTTATTTATTGTATCCTTCATTGTCGCTCCTGCAGGACCTTCTGACGCTCTTTCTTTTTACTCATAAATCATCACAGCTTTTAAACCAAACAGTTTTAGTGCAGAATTTTTCACAAGGGTTCCTCTTTTGTAAACTTTAAATAAATAATCACTTCAGAAGCTGCCTGCTTGAACCACGGTGATGTTGAAGCAATGCTAGTGGTATTCTCTGATTGGCTGCCTGTAGACCAGTTATTTGTATATCCACATGTTTTTTTTTCTGTATCTAAATATATCAGTTGTTCTATCAGTTGTTCTGTCTCTCTTATCTATTATTACTTCTTTGTTCAAGTTTTTAAAAATAGCTTTGTCGAGAGACTCTTGATTCCTTTTACTATTTGTCTGTCAATCAGTCTACATTTTCTAACAGAAATCAAGCTTTATTAATGTAGCTTTTTAAGTAACAAATGTCGCCTTTTATTTTACGATCCCTAAATTTGTGGCTAGTTTTGTTGCAATATCTCCACATTTTTTTGATTACTGAGAGAAATATATTGGATTTTATTTTTCTATGTTGTGAAAACTTTGATTGGATATTACTGTATAAATCTACTTGATTTTTACCTTTTTCAGTTGGTTGCAGTTATGAAGTAAATTCCCAACGATAGTCATCTTAGCACTTTACTAAAGAAACAAGATTCAGAATATCATACTATTGATCCAAATAAACTTTTGAAATAATTTGCATGTAATTTTTATTTTTTATGTGTTCTTTTGAAAACAGTTTTTACTACTACTGGCAGACATGCTGGCAAAATGTGGTAACTTTAGATTTTAGATATAAAGAAGAGCTGTTTATCAATCTGAATATATTCTATAGTAATCTGCAGAGTCAGATTTTTTTAATGTTCTTATGTTGAAACAGGTCACTATTTTAAGGTTAACATCCTAACTTTATATATTAACTTACAGCAATGTTTGTTTTTGTCCAAATTTTGACTGTGGTAACAAATTCTTTAAAAGCAAAGAGAACACAACCAGGTTTAGACCGGCTAAGACCAGAGTAACATTGCATTTGACATAGGCTAAAGGTGCCACAAATGTTGACATACAAGTAGTGAGTGATTGGCAGCTCTTTTTATGCCCCTCGTAATGAGCCTGATTGTTCTCAGGTTTGTGCTGCCAGCAGTAGCTTAGCTCAACTGAACCTGTCAGGAGAACACAAACACTACAATCCCTGATACTGGATATGCTTAGGGCAAATGACATGATATTTAATGTAGCTTATTTAAAGCATATTATTTTCCACCTCCAAAAGAATAAAAAATTATTTACCTTACTTTGCTCTAATAAACTATATTTTTTCAATGCTCAGTTAAAGTTCACTAGCAGGGGTGGAGCTACGGGTTGACCACGGGTGGACCAATCTTTGGACAACCGTGTGGCCACCAATGCCGGACAATTTGTTATTCCCTTATGAATGTGAGCAACAACTCATCGTTGTCGTTTATCTTCTTTTTTTGAGAACTGGCAGTTCTCTAAAAGAGAGGATGAAGACAGTGATACTCTTTAATAAAATAATAACCACTAACAACTGTAGAAGAAATAGCTTTGATTCACATTTGGAAGATTAGTAGAGGCGGCAACTACTGAAGGACTTTGTGGAGCAAAGCACATGATCTCTCATATTTGCCCGTGCTGCAGAGGAGCTCAGACTCAGAGGTAAGTCAAGAAGGGAGTTTTTATTCAGCATATTTAAAATGTTCTGTTAATTTAGAATAAAAAAGGCATTGTTTGCTGGGTAACAAAAGGACAAAACACTGTTTATTAATGTGTTACTTCTGCTCATTGTCTTTACTTATAACTAGCCTCTGAGTTAGCTGGAATGAAACTATTTATCCACCTGTTTCTCTTAGGAGAGATTATCCCTTAAGCTAGAAACATTTATCCTGTTTTTGTTTATGGTGTTTTCCATAATAGCTGATTTATTGTGTCACTGCTGTGAAGAATTTTTAGAAGTTTTTTAAATGAATCCCTGTGAAATGTCTGCTTATAATTTTATGTTTTTTTTTTTTTACTTTCTTTTCAACTAAAATGAAGAGAACAGTCACATCTTGCTTCAGTAGAAGTGCAGCAGGAGATGCAGTTTGAGACAAAACCAGACAATGAAGGAGGGCCATCAAAGGTTGTTCCTCTGAAAAGTAGTGTATCATTTTTGTGATAAAAAATACTGTATTTCTGAGTTCTGTGAATTTGCTGTTAAATGTCATTTAAACATCGTAAATAAAAATAATAGTTTTCACAGCAGTTTCCAATCTTTTTTTTTACTTTATTAACTTATTTCCAATATACTGAGAAGGTTATGATGCTGGTCTTCCTGGTTGTATTTGACAGTTATCAAATATACAGTATAGAGGTTATGCAGCTTGCCACATAAGATTGTGTGACATTTCCATTCCACAGTGTCAATGAGAAAAGCATGTTAAAGCTGGTTTTGAAAGCAATTTTTTGTAGTTGATATTTCATTAGTATATTGATCATAAACTTACAAAACAAAAATAAAGGTATTAATTATCCACATCAATAAACTAACCTTAAATTGATAAATGAAGATTTCATGCTCTTTTCAGAACTGTTTTCTTATGCATTTTGTAGAAAAAGGAGGTTTATGTGTCTGCATCTAGAGTTAGACAAACGTTGTTGTCATTTTGTATGCACAGAGTGTATACAAAATTAAATTTGGTTGCAAACAGCTTACAACAATGTAATGAGATTGCAGTTGGAGTAAGATAAACATTACCAATATAAAGTGCAGCCGTGATCAGAATGTAACAATGAAGGATAAAAAGAAAACTGTTTAGATAATGGTGCAAAAAGGCATTAATGTGAAAAAGTTCAACGCAGTGCAAAAATAATATGGTGCAAAATGCAGATGAAACATCTAATCTAGGAGTCTTTGTGTAATTAGAGATCACTGATTGTTACGTCCACACAAGACACAACATATTTAAGGACACGAGACAAAAGAAGATGAGGGTTCAATCAATTTTTATTTTCAAGTTCTCCACTTTTCTGATCTTTCCTAAGAGGGAAAAAGCAAAAAAATAGTCAGTTGGCCCTCAAATCCCGTGTCCCATAAAAAAAGAATCGAAAAAACGAGAAAAGAGAAAAAAAAAACTTCCAAAAAGTATTAACAGAAAGGTGGACCTGGTGAGCCGGCCAAAAAGAACAAAACGGCACAGCCGAGGGCCAACCCTACACAGGGCCGTCGAAGCCTCTGCTGAAGCCGGACTAAGCAAAAAAAAGAAAAAAGGGAAAAAACCTACATTAAAGAAAAGATCGAAAACAGGACCACCGGTCCCACCAGGCCAAAATCGGCAAACAACAAAAAAAAAAAACAAGAATTACCACATGGCAGCCTCGAGTCTCAGTTTCAGCCCGCTACCACGGGTCGAAATCAGGAGCGAGAGGAAAAGCGGCGTCTCAGCAGGGCGGGGTGGGGCGGCCTCCCACATTCTGAACGCCGGCCTATTTATAGGCGGGCCACAATGCCCCAAATTAACGTAATTAAATGTCAAAAGAAATAATCCAAACTCCAAAATTCTAACAAAGGATCCTTCAACAAAAGTAAAAAAAAACAACAAGGGAAAGAAATAAACAAAAGAAATAATAATGTGCCCGAAGCACATAACACTGATTAAATCTATTCACTGTGTATATTACACAGAACCAAATTATCAGTTTAGACAGTATCTTATAATATATGCAAATATAATTATTAGCAAGCATGAAAAAAAATGTTCTGCCTGGAACAGTGTAAATTGTCCGTGCTTCTGGCACTTTCCATTGAACTGTTTTAGGCCGCCCCCCCCCCAGTGCACATTGGCCCCTGGCTGGACACCCCTATGAAATGTTCTGGTTCTGTCACTGCTCACTTGCCACACCAAGACCCTTAATCACTGTGTAACATGTAGAGTTGGGAAATTACGCAAG